GGCACAGCGCCGCCAGCTCTCCCTGATCCATGCCAGGGAGGGGCTGCTGGCAGGGTGAGGTGGCTTTCTCCACTGCCAGCACTCACAGACAGACCAGCTTGGGCAAGCTGGGCCACCACTTCTGGCATCTCGCTGTGTTGAGACACCTCTGTCCCTTGCTTTTGTCCTCCTCAACTTGCCCCACCACCCTGTTGGGTTCCTGCCCACTTCAGCCCCTTGTCCCCCCAGTGCCTGGCACCCAGCAGCCCCCTGAGGCTTTCATGTTTGCTGTGCTGTGTTTGCAGCCACCAGAACCCCCACGACCCCCTCCCCTCTGCAGCCCCTCACTCACGTCTCGCAGCAGCCCACGCCAACGGGGTGCAGGCAGGTGCAGAGCAGGCAGTTGGTGCTCAGCCACGACTCCCCAAGAGAGAACTGCTTCCCCTCATACTCACAGGGAGCTGCAAAGGAAACAGTGGTGACACGTGGGCCTGCACTAGGATGCATGTTGGAACCTCCTGGGCGCCCCTCTGCCCTCAACGAGGGGACAGTGAGGACGTTGTGGCCTCCCAGCCATCCCATGTGACAGAAGATACTTGGTGGCCTCTCCGCCCCCCTGCAGGTATGGGACGCCCAGGCATCTGCTAAGGGCAACTCTCCCATCTATTGTCTCCTGGCTGAGCCCTGTGGCTCTCCCTGCTGCTCCTGGGGCCAGAAGCAAGTGGCTTTTGCTTCCCTGGAGAGGGCGTATTGAGCACACCTTGGAGTCTGAGCATCTCCAGAGCCCTGGAAGGAAGCAGCAGAAGAAAGACGGGCATCCCTCCTCCCATTGCTTCTAGTTCTGCATGCTTGGGCCCAGCCAGGCTCCTGCCAGAAGCTTTTCATGGCCCAGCAAACTGTTTCTCAGCCAGAGCCCTGGGGAGCTGTTCTGTGGTTTATAGACTGCTCCTTCCACTCATCACTGGCCCATGGTCATGCTCTTGAGCTCAGCACAGTCCCACACTTTACAGACTCGCAGGGCAGAGACCTGCTGCCCCTGTGGGGAAAGCCAAGACCTCCTCTTCCCATTAGCATTTTCCCTGCTCACCTCCCCACTTACCTTTAGCCTGGAAGTAGCATTTGGCCTGGGAGCCTGGCAGCTGGAGGAGGAGGGAGAGCAGCAGGAAAAGCCTGCCTGAAGCATACCCCATCTTCTGCACTTGCATGGCCATGGCTGGTGTTGAGCTGGGCTTCTTCACCGTGGTTGTCTTGCTTCTCTATTGCCTTTGCTCTTTTCCCTTCTCTCTCTCTCTCTCTGCCTTTTTAATGCTCTTCTCCTGATCCCAACAAGAGATATTTATAAAGTTCAGCTTTACGACCCTGGCCACCAGCTGTGCCCCACTGGAAAAGTTGTAAAACTCATTTCCTGATTTGAAAGGCATGAAAACAAGAGGTAGGATCAAGATTTTTAACAAGCTGTGAAAAGCTGATTCATGCCCTCCAGAAATGTCTCCAGTTGGAAGCCCCTGTGGGTGAAAGGCTCCACAATGAGAGGAGATCCAAGCGACCCCAGCAGGGTTGCCCTCAGCAGGGTGATGAGCATGCAAGCAGCAAGCACAGGAGACCCTGGCCTGTGACCAGGACAGCTCCAGGCTCCCCTCTGGACACGCTGAGCCGCCTCTGATCCTTCACAGCAGTTGAGATTTCAGGAGCATCCCATCTTGCAAGGACTGGAGCAGCACAGCCATCCTGTTAGCAAGCAGTGCAGGAGGCAATGGGACCATCCTCAGCAGGGATGGAGGTGCTCACACCCAGCTCCCGGGTACCACAGCAGTGCAGTGTCACCCCTGGGCTGCAGCCGTGCCAGGCTCATGGTGCCACATGGGTTGGAGATGACAGCAGGGGTTTTTAGGCCAAGGGCAGGCAGTGTGGCAATTGCCACTGATGAAGACTGAGTGAGGAAGGCTCTGTGTGAGGCATGACCCAGGGTTCATCTGAGCAGTGCCCATGGAAGTGGGGCTGTGCCTGCGTCTGTGCGGCACCCATGAGACACCAAAGCTGAGCAGCCCCTTCCAGGGGCAGGAGGTTGGCTCCAGCAGAAACAGGGAACTGGAGGGATAGACATCAGGAGGCAAAGGTGCGTTCAAGCAGCAAGTAACCTGAGAGGGAA